GGACAGGGACACCTCCCACCAGAACAGGTTGCTCAAGGCCTCATCCAACCTGGCTTTGAACACTGCCAGGATTGGGGCACCCACAGCCTCCCTGGACAGCCTGTGCCTGTGTCTCACCACCCTCACAGAGAAAACGTCTGCCTAAGACCTAACTTAAATTTCCCCTCCTTCAACTTGAACCTATTACTTTGTCCTGTCACTGCAGCCCGCACGCAAGAGTCCCTCTGCAGCTTACCTGGAGCCCCTTCAGATCCTGGCAGGTTGCTCTGAGGCCTCCACACAACCTTCTCTTCTCCAGGCTGAGCAGCCCCAACTCTCCCAGTTTGTCCTCATAGGGAAGGTGCTCCAGTGCTCTGAGCAGCTTTGTGGCCTCCTCTGGCCTTGCTCCAACAGTTCCAAGTCCTTCTGATGTTGGGAATACAAGAGCTGTGTGCAGGACTCCAGGTGAGTCTCACCAGAGCAGAGCAGAGTGGAAGAATCACCTCCCCCAACCTGCTACCTACACTCATTTGGCTTCAGTCAAGGCCTGGGTTTGTTTCTGCACTGTGAGCTCACTGCAGATCATGGGAGTTTGTCATTCACCATCATGCCCAAGTCTCTTTCCTCATTTCTGGTCTCAACAAGAGCTGTGTGCAGGACTCCAGGTGAGTCTCACCAGAGCAGAGCAGAGTGGAAGAATCACCTCCCCCAACCTGCTACCTACACTCATTTGGCTTCAGTCAAGGCCTGGGTTTGTTTCTGCACTGTGAGCTCACTGCAGATCATGGGAGTTTGTCATTCACCATCATGCCCAAGTCTCTTTCCTCATTTCTGGTCTCAACTCCTTCCCCACCCAACCTATAGCTGTGGATTGCCATGCCATGAGCCAGATGTAGGACCTTGCACTTCATTTTGCTAAACTTCATGAAGTTTGCATTGTTCTACCTCTCAAGCTTCTCAAGGTCCCTCTGGATGTCCCATCCCTTCCCTCCAGCTGCGACTGCCACACACACTTGGTGTGGTCAGTGAACTTCTGCTGTTAGTGTTTGCATAAACCATTTCAACCCGTAAAAATTACCAGTTGACACTGCAGGCAACAGTCCCAATACAAAAATGGATCCACGAGAAGAATGATGGGATTTGAGGTTCTTTCTGGTGTGGCACGTGGGGCCAAGTCACTTCAACTCAAGTGAAACAGGAGCAGGTTTGAGATTACTGAGAAATTGAGATTGAGAACATTAGTGCTGAGGGAATGCTTATTTTGGAATAAGTTTAAGGATTTCTACCTAATCAATTAACTTTGCTGATTAGGGGCAGGATTTTTCTTGACTCCACATTCCGTTTCGCAGGCCACAATTTCAGGCTGGTCGAATGCGAGATTTTTCAAGGAGTGAAACTTCAACTGTGCCTTTCTCTTAGGCTTCACATGACTGAAGTTACAAGTGTAACTGGAATAGAGCTTTCCAGTTCATTGGAGAATCTTGATTAATATTTTTGATAGAAAACTACAGCTGGGCGTGAAAAAACTGCTCGCAGTTGAGACAACACAGAACTGCAAATTCAAGTTCTTTGCCTTTTTCAATGTGGAGACCTGGTAGAAAACAATGAGATTTTGTCCAGGGCTGAAAGCCTTGCTCCTTTTTTTGTGTGTGTGTGAGAGAGAAAGATTGATAATAAATTTCTTCCACATCTAGAAATGCTAGAAAAGCTGTTTTTCTCGAGAGGGTTCTTGATCAAGCAATAGTAATTATAGGGATGAAGAAGCCAGATAAGCATCCGGACAACACTGATGGCTTTTTCAGGCTGACTCTGGAGACCTCCAGCCAAACCTGCTGCCTCTCTGGGCAGGTAGATTGGCTCCTGCACACCTGAGAGGCAAATCAGTAACCAAAGAGGCAAAAAAAAATGTTGCTACTCTTTCTGTGGCACTGACTAATCTACTTCAGCTCCAAGCTAAAGGCAGGATACTGTTCTTTGTGCAGAGAGGAAGGTGGAGGTCTAATAGAATCATAGAATTTAGGAGTTGGAATGAACCTTACAGATCATCTAGTCACAGCCCCCCCCTTGCCATGGGCAGGGACACCACCTCACTAGATCAGGTTGCTCAAGGCCTTATCCAGCCTGGTCTTGAACACCACCAGGGTCAGGACAGCCACCACATACCTGGGCAACCTATGCCAGTGTCTCACCATCCGGACAGCGAAAAGCTTTTTTCTAATATCTAACCTAAACTTCCCCTCCTTCAATTTGAACCCATTACTCCTTGTCCTATCATTGCAGTTCCTAACACAGAATCCCTCTCCAGCTCCCTTGTAGGCCCTTCAGGTATTGAAAAGTTGCTCTGAGGTCCAGATGTAGGACCTTGCACTTCATTTGGCTGAACTCCCTCCAGCTGTGACTGCCCTACAAAGCTTGGTGTGATCAGAGAACTTGCTGAGGGCGCACTCAATCCACTGTCCATGTTGCCGACAAAGATGTTGAACATTTTTGGTCCCAGCATCAACCCCTGAGAGACACCACTCCTCACTGGCCTCCACGTGGACACTAAGCTGCTGACCATCACTCTCTGCGTATGACATCCAGCCAGTTCTTTATCCACCAAGTGGTCCACCCATCAAATCCATGGCTCTCCAATTCAGAGACAAAGATTTCGTGCGGGACAATGTCAAACAGAAGTGGTTTCAAACCACTGCAGTATAGCTGACAAAGACTACAAACAATGAATTGGTTCTACTAGCTAAAATAAAAGAGGCATTTGCTCACTAGATCTAGTTTTGTGGAAGACTCTCTAACATGTTGGCAGTTTGTATTGTACCGGCAAAAAGACCTATAATTAGTACACTACTGTGTTCTTCCTTGCTAAAAATCAGAGCTAAATTATGTCTGATTTGCTCCAAATTTTGCCTCTAGTAGAAGAAATATGAGTGGGACAACAGCATCTTAACTGCCCAGAAGGAGGAATTAATATCATATCACTGTACCATTTTCACTGCTAGGGAGATTCCACCACTTTGTTCATATGTGTAGATATAATGTATATAAATATTTTCAGTTACAGCCCTGGCTCTCTGCACTGAGGTAAAATTCCCAAGGGAGACTAATGGGATTTGATAGGAAAGAAATTAACCTCAAATTACAGGGTATAATGCTCATAATCCGTCTTCTGCTGTGGAGTTGAGCCGGGAAGTTAAGGGTAAGCCTTTGACCAGATGTCTGGTGTTGTCCCACTATATCCTTACAGTAAGCCTCCAGCTTAGACACAGAAAAGTCTCAGGATGGTGCTGTGCTGGAGACACCATTATTCCATCCATGCAAAGGATAAAACACAGTTGATGTGTCTCCAAAGACTCCAAAGGGGGAAAAGGAGTTTATGAGGGACAAAGAGGAAGGGATGCAATTTGGAAAACAAAAGGAAAACACATGCTGAAAAAGAAATGAGTGATATTTCATCAGGGCAAATACAAAAAGAGGAGAAATCTTGCCTTCTGAAAGAATAAGCAAAGAGATTTTTTAATCATTTGTTGGGGTTTTTTCTGTCTTTATTTAATTTCAAAGTTGTCTTTACTGATTCCCTCTTCAGGACTTAGTAAACTGGATGAAAATCTATGCATTTTGGCTTTTCTGCTACAGGAATAATGTCCCACAACATGAAATCTCTTACTCACATTAGTCTCAACTGGTTTCCCAAGTAAACTTTGAGACGATTATCAGCAAATAACTGGTATTAACACAGTCTGTTACCTGTTTTTCCTTTCATCAGCTGGTAAAAAATCTGCATAAACTACATACAGCAGTGCCAGGAGAAGAAAACACCTCCTGTTTCACTGAGCCACACTGCTAGATATAGATTTTACCAAATTGTTGGTTTCTAAGTTCATAGGACTCATTCCCACTGTTTCTCAGCGGCTCCTTCTCATCTCCCATGTCGCTGTCTTTCATCTGTGCAAAGTAGGCAAGAGAAGCTTTGCACTCGTAGTGCCTGTCCAGAGATTTCAGGTGGATCAGCATATGAAGAGCATAGGCAAGCACCAGCAGCAGAATCAGAGACATCACCAACCCCATCAGTATTGCTGGGGAGAAAAAGGATGCACAGTCTTTTGCATAGGCAAAATGTCCTTCCTGGATGTTAAATCCTTGAATCTACAAAGGGAACAGGAGGGATGATGTTAAATAAAGTACTTGAGCTTCATTAGTTTGGTCCTGATGGCAGTAAAAGTTTCTAATTTAATACCTGCATGTCACAAATTTGTGTCTACCAGTGCTGGCTGGAGTTAATGCTCAGAGTTTATCCAGGTCAGTCTTCAAGAAGCTGGCAGCTAGTCTAATTCCCTCCACTCTGCTGCCCAAAGGATTTGCAGCTGTGGTTTAAACAAAACCTTCTACACTCACGCTTCATGGCACACCAGTATTTAATTGTCTATTTAATTGCATCTTTCACGTTAATGGTGCATCTCCAGCATCACTTGTTGAGAACCTCCAGAGTATCTGCTTAAAACTGCATAAACTTCAACATGACAAACGAGGAAACATTCTCAAATGTTCAATTTTTAGTTAGGTTTAGTGTCAGATTTTCCTCACCAGATCCATGTGTATGGTCTTTGGCAGCAAATCACCTAAACTACAGGAAGTTGCATCCAGCTATGGAAAATATTAGTGAGTTTTACTTGTGGATTCAGCTCTGATATGAAGTTTGCCACACTGGCATTCAGGGAACTGACTGCCTGCTACACTGAGTCAGGCCACAAGCATTTATCACGTGGTGAGAAAAGGGGATCACCTTCCTCCCTCAACTCCCTTTTTCATCACTTCATGCCCTATGACTCAGGTATGTAAAAACAAGACACTCCAGCACAGACATCTTAGACTTCTTTGCAGTCAAATGCAGGCAAGTTGGCACTTTCAGAAGATTATTAACCTCATCCTAATATAAGGACTTAAGATGAGTCAGAGGAATTATCCACTGGCTTTAGAGGTAGGCTGGGGTGGCTATAATCAGGGCACAGGGTTGAAATTCCTGGGCATCAAAAGTTAAGTGAGGTGAATTCCAGAGCTGGTGTCTGGTGCTGTTATTGATGCCAGGTTTAAGAGCCCAGCTCAGAGACATGTAACACTCAAAGTCAAATTCACTCCCCACACTGAAGAGAATACAGCAAAAAACTACAGAAAATCTATACAGTCCTTCACAACCTTTGACAGCAAGGCAAATAAAGCAGTTTAAGCCTTCATTTCTATTTTGTGTCCCATGTAAACCGCACGTGGAAGGTCATTACACTTCCTTGGCAGCGAAGGGCAAAACTTCCCTCATGGTATTAATTATAGAATCATAGAATCAGAGAATTT